CTATATCCAAATCAAATAGTTAGAGACAACTAACTTCACTGTGGTGATTTGAAGTCCTGAATTTTCTGATGAGTTGGTGGGAAAAATGGCACTACTACCCACATTTGAGCCAAGAGAATTAACAGTCGAGGACCCTAAATTTACTATAATCTGTCACACGACAATAAACAACTCCAAAAACACTGGTGTGGTCAGTACCTAAGCATGCAAAGTTGCAATAAAGGTGTTGTGTGGCCAAGTTTAAATTTATAGAATGCCACTACCACTACTAACTATAAATGTAGTTAGAGTGAGTAGGGATCGTCCCAAGGGATATGGAGTGTATTTTTGCTTGGAAATCAAAGTCGGATTAGTAGATCGAATGATTAAAGATGGTTTGTTGGTTGGACTAAACTACGATTTAAGCTAAATGAATGCAATGTAAAACAACTAAAGTAAGTAAGGTGTAGAGAATAAGAGAGAGAAGTCTTGGGTCATAGAGTTCACCATTAAGCATTACCTTCTTAGACATTAAATATTTAATGGATTAAAGGGATTATGTGTTGTAAATGAAAGTGTGTGCCATTGATTGAATTATTAACATGGATAGCCAAGCAAGTATATATTATCTAGCGAATCTAGTGAATAACACAACATATCAAATTAAGCCATTAATCCTTTCATAAGCCCACAATCAATGCACACTCAATAAATTAGAGAAATATACTACTTGCACTCATAACCATAGAACATCAAACAACAAGAATGAATTGTCCTCCCATCTAAGAAACTAAGGCAACTACACTACAACTAAGCTAGAGACATGAAATTAAACTAAGTAAACTAAGGATGAGGCACAATCCATCAAGAAATAAGTATGAACCATCAAATTAACTACAAGAGTATTCCATTTAAGCACCATACCTTGACCATCACTAAATTTATAAAATCAACACACAAAGACATGCATTAATGTCACAAAATTTAGAGATAAACACATGAACATCCATTCTAGCATACATAGACATATGAATAGAATTAAATGATCAATTGGAAGTATTAAACTACACAAATCATTATAGAAACAAGATTTATATATATCAAAAGTCAAGATAAGAAATACAACACTAATCCCCATTAATTACAATGCATCAAAGTCTAGGAAGCATGCTTAGGGCTATCTCTAGCCCCAATAGATGGTTTAGCCACTTATTGATATTGTCATCCAACCCTCAAGGGCTATCTCCATAGTAGAGCTCTTCTTCCTCCTTGGTAAAAGCCCTAGATGAGAGGAAGAACTTTCCCAATTTGTGTATATTTTCTCTTTAATCTCTAGCCAAGCCTCTCTAACTAACCAACCTCTTCTACTTAAAATAGCCAAAATCCTTATATAGGTAGCTCAAATGTCACACCCATGGTCAGTCCTCATGCACTAGGACCTCTCAATGATTGCACCATGAGTACACCTTTTAATTGGCTGGAACTCTATTTTTTTCACACTTAAGGAGGTTCGATCGATCACAAGGGTGCTTCGATCGATTGAATTAAGGAGGCACCTTTTTGGAATAAAGACTAAGTTGAAATATTTTTGGGATAGTTTGGGAAAAGGACAAAAGTGATAGGTGGGGATAAGATCAAAAATGTTTGGTCGATCGAAGGAATGTTGGATCAATCGAAAAAGGAAATTTTCTGAGGATAAGGACAAAAGGCTCGATCCATCTTGGCATGGTTGGAACGATCACTATGTGATTGATCGGGGCTTGGTTCGATCGATCAAAGAATGCTGTTTTTCACCACTTTGCCTCCACTTTACTCCTTTCTTTTACTGAGCTTGAGATTACATCGTTTATGCTCTAATTCAGCTGAATTGACTTATTTTGGGGATAAGTGCCTGAAAAGGGAAATAACATGAAATTGGACTAAAACGAAAAATTAAGATATAATAAGGTCTTAGAATGTTTAAGCTTAAGGGGTTTAAATGCGTACTTTTCAGCGCTTATCAAACACCACAAATTCTGTTAATAAATCAAAGGGTCTTCTAAGACCATAAATAAAAACAATGTCTCCTCAGACCATTCCTAAAAATTCCAATTACAGACTTTTTCAAGGAGTGCTTCCCGTTTACATATAGCCGGACAACCTCCTGCTCAAAATCTAGAACTTCTCTGTAGACTCAAAAAATTTTACCCAAGCCCTTAGGTGTTGGAGACCAACTATCCCAATTTACCCAACCCTAGAAGAGTAAAAAAAGAAATTGAAAGCCAAATGCGGTATTATCATTTTATTGACTACTAATTTATCCACTGTGAACTTGCAATCTTGAATCACCTTGGGGAAATTTTTATGTCTTTAAAACACTTTAAAATATTCACTTCTATAACCTCTATGGAATCAACAAGTTATGGAAGATTGGGTTGGCAAAGATAACATAGGAAATCTGAAGAATTCTAGAGAGAGAAGGTGGGAATAGCTTATGTTTTAATTGTTTTGCTTGTATGTCTCATGGGAGAACCTCACACCATGTATTTATAGAGTTTTGGTTGCCAACCCTAGGTAGATTTCTAGGGTAGCCACCCCTCTAATCTCTCTCTAATTCCTAATTTCCTTATAACTATATCACTTGTTATCCAAGTTGGGTTAGTAGTGGGATCTAGGCAGGCTTATCCAAAACTTGGCTTACAACGGGCCTCTTAAAGGACAGATTAAACCCATGACCCAATTAATTAGCCATATAGCTATTGTTAATTCCACTTAATAAAAAAAATTACTTTTCAAGTGATTAATAATTTACTTAATTGACACAAGTGCTACAATACAAGTTTGCTCCTTTATGCTAAATTGGAATATTGGACAACTATTATAGCCATCAATCCGACCGTTAAATTATCATTTATTCTTGAATTAATGATTAAAGCTATTTGATATCTTGAAAAATTCTCTTTAAGAATACTTTTAATAAATAAATATATTTAATAAAAATATTTCATCAAAAGCTACCGATAACAAATTTAGTGATCAAACTTAATCAAGTCGACAATAAGTGACCTCAAATTTAAGTCATCTTAAGAATACATCTACTAATGCTTATAATTAATGAGTACCCAAAATATCCATATTTTAGATCTTGGGGCACACTGAGACAAATCAAAGTAAACAATTATTAAGACACTAGCACACTATTCGTTCAAACTTAAGAGTAACTTGCTAGAACATAATTATAAGGAGAAATTAAAATGACAGCTATTATAATTTCCATAACTTATACTCAATCATGTTTAATATGAAATATAAATTAAGATGTACAATTCATTCATTTATATTGACGATAAGCCAACACATAAATAATAAACTTATATGTTATATTCTCACAGATTGAGTTTCTAATTCTATCATAAATGCGAACATATATTTACGAATACGTAGTATCAATGATCCATCTCTCCTATGCGTATTGCCTAGTGCAGGATGCACATAAACATATTACATAATCAAAGAAACATTGACTCAACTCTAGAGTCACACAATACAAAGGATTCACCATATAGCCCTTTAAGGATCTATTGGGCCCATTCTTTTCTTGGCTCAAATGGAGTAATTATTTGACACAATCACCCCATGACCTTAAATCAACTATATAAGAATGGTTTTCCTCCAACTAGAGAAATTGTTAAACCACGAAGTCAATTTACGAGATAACCCCTCTACGCGTCAGATAAATAAATACCATCAATCATTTTACTTAGTTGCACCTTTATTTTTACTCCTTGATTACATAAAGCTTTCCTTTGAAAATTTATATATTTAATAAATAAATAAATATAAAAATCATTTTATTTTTCAAAACACCAAGGTCATGGATTTTTTTCTGATTAAAATAATCAAGTCAAAATAAAATATTACAACATAGATGCATTCTTGAGAGTATATTCCAATGTCAATAATCAATAGCTACCCAAAATACCCGGGTCTTAGGCCCCATTGTCCACTAAATAAATAATAAGAGTGCATTGCTCTCTAATGCTTGAGAGTCATTCACCATGACACTGATAAGGAGAAATTTACAAAGATGACTCCCGCAATTGGCTCAATTTATCATTCATCCAGTTCCATTCTTTTTTGATAAAGAATCCATCCTCTATCACTAAATGTAAATACTTTATGATAATGCAAATAAGTGATTCATATCCCTTATACATGAATACCCATCATACACATATAAAATCACATTACATAATCAGAAGGGATAACTAAGATGTATCTTATGAACCGACTAATACAAGCATTCACCATAAACATGTGTAGAACATTTAATATAAACCCAAGTCAATTCATTCTATTAATTGGTTGGAAGGGCACATTATTCTAAAAATACGTGTGTAAAACATGTATTGGAAAAATAAAATCCGATTCTATAAATTATCAATGTCAAATACATAGCCAAATTTGCTTAAAGGGCTCACTTGATCCTAGCATTAAAAGGAGTGTTTGAGTAACATGATCAAAACATTAATTCAAGAGTAATTAAGGTAAATCTTATGGAAGTTTAGAGTAATTTACCATATATTTATAGATTGAACAATACTACATTACTTGTGTTGTTTTCTATAGACATGGTAATAAGATTACTGTTAAAGCAGTTTGAGCTAGCCTATAATTATTTTCATATTCGCAGTGTATATTAAAAAGAAAGTTTTGTTTTTATTACCTTATGAACATAGACAATTTTCTTAATTATTTGCGTATGGTTTGGAATTTTTGGGTATGAAAACTCTATGTTAGTTAATACTAAACCATAAATAGTATTATACTATGCTCAATTTTGAAGATACATCTCACTTTTTTTCTTTTTAAAGGTTGACTCACAATAAGAAATTTACGTTGTTGAGACATAATAGTTTTTTTTCCTTCTTGCAATGTCATATAGATTTACAATTCAATTATGAATTATATATTAGTTTTCTCTTCAATATCATTTTATTTTTTAATATCATATGCTAATAAAAAAGTTTTATGGATTGAAGGAAGGAATACTGAAAGAGGCAAATGGGTTTCTTCAGCAAAAGGTAAAAAGATAATTAGAATTTTGATTTTTTTATCTACCAAACGCAGTTTAGCTAACCAACATAGATCAATTGTTCCTTTTATGCAGATTGACGAGCACTATGGGAATACTAACATTATACAGATGGTAACTAATATTCCACATCCACTAACAATACAAAGTGAGATATATCAATTCTGAAAGATGCACTCAATATATAGACAAATCAAATTGAAGGCATTCAGAAAGTTGTCTAAAAACATAATTAGTTAATGCATTTGGGAGTTATATGTAATAACCATGATGAATGTTCCCTATGATTAACATTTAGTTGTTTATGATATGGCTAATATGCCTTTGTAGATTTTGCAGATACGTATTACTATTATAGCTATTGTTTTAAGATCATTATGTCTTTATTACGTTTGAATGATTTGTTAATTAAAGAAATGGGTTAAGTGCAAAAAACCCCCTTCTACTATCAATATAGTATAAAAGGGTCCCTGTGTGTTATAAAACCCTCATATACTAACAATTTGGTGCAAATAGTTTCTCGTGTGGTATAAAATGATGATAATACCCTTATTTAGTTGAATAAATTAATAACTATAAATATAGGCCATGTAAAATGACCCTTTTGTCCAATTTGTGTAAAATAGTGCTTGTTTGGGATAAGAATAAAATAAACCTCAATTTGTATAAAATTGGGATAAGGTAAACCAAAGAAACCTAAAACTGGATATAATAAAAACTAAAGCCAAACGTTCCCCACCATAGCCACCTGCCACCTCCTCCCACTGCCCACAACCATGGCCGCCACCTCTTCCCCACCATAGCCGCCACCTCCTGCCACCTTCTTCCACTGCCCACAACTATCTATCTCCTATCTAAACCCATAAACAATATAGCCATCCTTATTGCACAACCTGCCACCACTATCCCTATCACAAAACCGCCACCACCATTTTTGTATAGTAATGAAGAGAAGTGAAACATTTTGTGCCAACCCCCTAACCATTGAGTCTATTGCCCAACCCTTGATAAAGTAAAGGCCCCAATAATGCGTACGATGGTGACCAAAGCTCATTTTAACTAAGTTCATCATTTCAATTTCCACACACAACATATTTGAGTGTTTTACAGAGAGAGATGAGAAGACAACACCTATGATATAGAGGGAAAATACTCTCCCACCAATCAAAAGATAACACATAATCGCAAGAGGGGTCCGCTACAAATACAAAGACTATTCAACTCTTGAACGTAGCCTCGATCAAAAGATTGGGCCAGCCCAACCAAATATAATAGGCTGAACGTATCAAAAACGTCCGAAACCATAGATTTCCAGGCCCAGATTACCAATAAGTCCATCTTTAGTAATAATTCTATCAGTAGAAGGATTATTATTTAAAGGAAACTAATCATGTATGATAAGGATGATATATTATGATTGAAATGCTTTAGGCACAAGCAATGCGAGTCCTAAAAGGAATCAATTACCTATGAATTACTTATAAATAGAGGCCGAGACCTCGAATAAAGATTTATAATCTTGGCTTGACAACTTTTAGTATTGAATTCCATAGTTCTTTCATTCATTCAATTATGTTTTTGAGTGTTGGGCAATAATTAGTTGACTTTTCAGAGCCGAACGAGTTTTTGCACACACACTTTGGCGCCGTCTGTGGGAAACGTATAGAACTATACCCCCATGAGTGATTACTATTTTACATATGAGTACGTTCTAGAATGTCGATAGGAGCAAATGCAGCAAAGCAATAAATGGAGCTGATGGAAAAGATGCGCGAAGAGTTCTTACAGCAATTCAAGACCTTCCGACAGGTGAACGAAGCTAATACGACTCAGATCGTGGCTCTCCACCAATGGAATGATGCCTTTCTGGCAGCCATGGAGTAGATGGCACCACAGCTTCCACCCGTTGTTACCAACATACCGAACGGAGCACAAGAGGATCCTCCAAACCTCGCACTAGAACTTGGGCCCCAAACCAATCAGCATCTTCCAGAAGGTCCCCAGGGGAGCCTCAGGGTCCCTCCTCGAATAGATACCTTGATGCTGGCCAGTGCATAACAGCGCCAGGCGAGGCCTACAAAGGACCAGGGGGAGTCTAGCCAAAGGTACATATATGAGCCCAACCCGACATTGGTCTTAGGAGTGGGGGAACTATTCAAAGGTTTCAGAATCTAGACCCCCGAAGAGATGGCAAAGGAGTTCATCGCCTCAATCGCCAATACTCCATTCACTGACGACATCGAGCTGATGGACGTCCCCTAGAGAAATTCAGAATATGAACTTTCACCCTCTTCAATGGAAATGGGGATCCGACCCATCACCTTGTTCAGTACACCCAGAAGATGGCAATGCATACCTATAACGACCGCCTCATGTGCAAAGCTTTCCCCAAGAGCTTGTCCAGGGTCGCCGTTGAATGGTTCAAAAACTGACCTCACTGGTCAATTTCAAGTTTCGAAGAGCTTTGCGTGGCATTCATTACCCAACACTGCGAAAACAAAATACAGAAGAAGACTATTTCGACCCTCTTCGCTCTGAAATAAATGGAGGGAGAAAGTCTCCAAGCCTTCTACAAAAGGTTTAACCTAGAGGCAGCGGGCATACTCGACTGCCATCAACCCTCTGTGGTAGAAGCCTTCACGATTGCGGTTATCTAAGGGTCGAAGTTTCATAACTCGCTACTCAAATACACCCCACCAAATATGCCATCTCTCAATGCTCAAGCACAAAGCTGTATCAGAATAGAAGAAAGTGAAGCATAATGAAAGATGTAATTAACTATAATCATAGTGGAGGAGAAGTCTAAGGAAATGAGTACCAAGAGTAAAGCCCCACCCTCAGCCTCAATCTACCTGGTTTCGAAAAAAAAAAAGCAGAGGACTGAAAAGAGAATTACTCTTATAAATACCACAATAGCTCGGTTTTTTCAAAAAAATAAAACAAAATACCCTACACCACCTCCTATTAAGCAGACACTACAACTCAGGCACAAAAGTGTCCACTGTGCTTGTCATAGGGATTATGGTCACTCCAATAATGACTGTAGGACACTCAGGTGGCAAGTAGAATCCCTGATTGCAAAAGGGGACCTGGCCGAGTATGTGGTAAGCAAAGACCAAGCCAAAGGGAAAGAAACGACCGCTGCACCGAAGAGAAACACCACCAAAGGGAATCCTGTGCGAGTAATCAATTGCATACATGGCAAACCCAAGGAAGAAACAGAGTCTGAGGATGCCTAAAGGTCAAAACTTAGGCATGTTCACAAGTTAAGGAAGCTCAGCTTAGTTAAAACCATTGTCCAGGTTACGGCTAGAATTAGCTTCGTAGACGATGACTTAACCCATGTCCAGATCCCACACGAGGATCCTTTGGTGATTAGCCTATTACTTTCCAGCTGTCTAATAAAGAGAGTCTTGATAGACCCCGGGAGCGGTGCTAACATTATCATCAAAAGGGCTTTCGAGCAGCTTGGGGTCAATGCGATGCACGTTAGACCCACCTTAAGTCCGTTAGCCGGCTTTGACGGAACTAAGGTGGATCCCATCGGGGTGCTTAGTCTTCCGATGATAGTTGCAAAAAGAACCCTGAGCGAGAGCTTTGTATTAGTAAATATATATCCATCATTTAATTTGATTATGAAGAGAGGTTAGATACACAAAATGAAGAGAGTTCCATCCACCCTCCATCAAGTAATAGGTGTATTTTCCGAGATGGCAAGAATACGATTGACCTGCATGGAGACCAAGTAGTAGCCAAGGAATGCTATGTCATCACCGTGAAGGAAATTCAGAAATTGAAGCTGAGGGCAACATCCTCGGAAGAAAGCCCCAAATAGCTATTATAGAACCCTCTACCTAAATAACTGAAGGCAAAAGACAACGGAGCACCCCAACCATGGAGCCACTGAACTCCGTCGAAATCACCCAAAGAGATCCAACAAAGGTCACTCAAGTTGGTACAACTCAATCCCTGGAAAAGCAAGATGAGATTATCTGGGTAATAAGAAAGAATGCAGACATATTTGCCTGGAGCCATCTCGACATACTAGGTATAGATCCTCTCATATCATGTCATAGTTTAAACGTTGACACTTTTGCACGTCCAGTCAAACAGAAACAGATGAAGTTTTATTTTTTTTTCCTGAATGGGGGTTTATTTATTTATTTATTTATTTATTTATTATTATTTTTTTATAAGATTAAATCAAAATAGTACAATTACAAATGGCGGTAAATCTCCATTACATATCAAGGAAAGAACATCTCCATTTCCAAAGAGCATCTAATTCAAAACATAAAACACTAAAGATAAAAAACAATCAAATGATCTGCTAAGCTAATATTCAGATATGTGATAACATCCCAAATAATAGTCTGCACTGCATGTGAGCTTTGTTCTTGAATTCCAAAATGTAAATTAGTGTTTCTGATTGACCAAATCTTCCAAAAAGTGACTGAAAATAATCCACTAAGAACCTTAGATTTTAAGGTCTTAGACCCAGTATGTTGACAAAACTAATCCACAATGTGATTAACTCCATTAAACCTTGGAACCTGTATCTGCAAAATCTCAAAAATCCCCCCCCCCCCCAGACTGCTTCAGCAAATCAACAGTGACAAAATAGATGATCATTGGAGTCATCTCCCTCAAAACAATTATGATAAATTGATGTAAGAGGCATTCCTCTTTTCTGTAAATTCACAAAGCTTAAATTTTTATTATGAAGTATGATAACTACACAAATACTAACCCGAGGCCTGCAATTTTTCCAACACAGTCTAGCCCATTTCATCTTGTGTCCAGTAACTCTACAACTATTCCATGCTGCCTTCAAAGAAAAATTCCCATGCTTCCATTTAATTTGATCCTAAAACAGAGGAAGTTCACCCCCGAGAGAAACTAAATCATATCCAAAGAGGTGGACCGGCTGCTCTAGGCCAGATTCATTAGAGAGGTTCATTATCTAGACTGTCTCTCAAATGTCGTAGTGGTATAGAAGAAAAATGGCAAGTGGAAAGTCTGTATTAATTTCACAAACTTGAATAAGGCCTGCCCAAAGGATAGCTTTCCCCTCCCGAAGATAAATCAAATGGTCGATGGTACCACTGGCTTCGAAAAGTGGTCATTACTCGACGCTTATTTAGGATACAACCAGATTCCATTGGATC